TCTCTCTCTCTCTCTCTCTGTTTATCTGTCTCTCTCTCTCTCTCTCTCTCTCTCTCTCTCTGTCTCTCTCTCTCTCTGTCTGTCTCTCTCTCTGTCTCTCTGCAGTGGCGACAAATCGGGAGCGGTTGTGGAAAGGAAAATGGGACGGGATGACGAAAACAAAACTCTCTTCTGGTGGGACACATTGCCGGGGTCGCGTTGTTGGTAGATGCCGCGAGGGTGCGGTCGCACAGGTGCGTGGGTGTCTTCTGCATTTGGCGCCAATGGCGTTACGTACGGGTGACCGCTGAGAAGCGGGGACACCTACAGGATGTGGAAGATGTGGGGATATCTCAAGCATGTAAGAAGTGGAGATGTCTCAGTGATGTGTGTTTACTTAGGTAGCGGCTGTCAGGGCGTAGATACCTTGAGAGTGCGGTAGAGCGAGCGCACAGGTGTATGGTCGAAATTTATGTACCGATTGCTGTAGAACCATGAGGATACGAAGCCCGACTGACGCGTGTAAGGAAAAGCGCGCTCTCGACGAGATATTTCCAAACTAAACCTTGTCGGATTTGCCAGCTTCATGGTTGAGGAGCAACCGAGCGCTAAAAATCGGCATCAGACAACTGTAGTGCGTTCGCCCGCACTTTTACGGTATCTCGCGCCACTTGTGCGTGCCATGTGTCGCAAGGCATCTCGCGGGCAGACAGGGAACCAAGTATCAAGCAGCCCAACAAGGCCGAAGACCATCAAACCACCGGCCCTTGGCAAGGGGGGCAGAGAGAGAGAGAACGGCAAACTAAAGGATATATGCTTAAACCTCCGGGGGTAAGCAGGTGCTGTTTGTTCGTTGCAATGTAGCCCTCACGGGCCTATCGCGATGAGACGCTCTGTGTTGGACGGGGGAACACGGTCGTCGACAAAAATTGCAAACAGAACGGAGAGGCGTTTACACCACGGGGAACGTCACACCGCGGCTGCAGCGTCAACTAGACCCATCTGTTTCAGTCCCTGCCCCTCTCTCGATTGTTTTGTTTCGTTGTGCTATTCCCTCTCCTCCCTTTGTGACCAAGGAGATGGGGAAAGCCGGAAACGAAGGGGATTCGAGCAGGTCACAAAACGAACTGGTTATATCTCGGACGGGTGTTGAGGTCTTTCTGTGGGGTTGTGAATACTTTCAAAAACAACTGGCAGGACGCTTCGTGTGGGCTCGATAGAGATCGAAAACCCTGCTTAGGGACAAACAGACGTGGCTGAAGAAGAAGTTGCGACGAGCGCGAGGTATTCCGGTCAGATGTGCAGCGGGGTGGGGGCCAACAGCCCAGCCGACAAAAATTGTCGATATATCTTCAGTCAGCAGTTTGAAACGGAAAAGAGATCGTGAGGTCAACATGCTGAGACGAACTCGCGAACCCAGGAAATCGACATGCTTGCATCCCAGGCTGAGGCGCTGGACGCGTCTAAGAGCCCACCAACGAGAAGATGGAGGGGGGGCGTGCTCTTTGTGTTTTGCATGCCTTAGCGGTTAGACCATTGACCACGCGTCCTCGAGAGGACGTAGCATTGTTCCCACAGGACCGATCACCGATGGTCAATCGTTCCTTTCGAGAAGAGGGAGGGATGGGAGAAAACGTGCGGAATGACATTGTACGAGAGAAGATAAAAAGCACGCAAAACTACTAGGGACTATGTGTGAGGGTGAGCGACAATGGGGGGGGGTGTTGGTGGGTGGCGTAGACGGGGTGTGCAGCTTGTGTTCGGTGTAAACCTAGCCAGTTTTAGGTGCGTTTGGTTTTCGTGAGCTATGTAGAGTTCGGCAGCCCGTGAGATGGGAGACAGGGGGAACGGATGTACATGAAGATATCCGGACCATGTACAACCGCGTCCGGAAGGTTCCAAGGTAGCCACAGCCACACCGGAGCAGCGGCGCCGGAGCAGCGGCACCGGAGCAGCGGCATCGGAGCAGCGGCACCGGAGCACACGGACGACATCGAACCGTGACGCACGGACGAACATTTTTTTTTGTCAAATATTTTTCGATTTTTTTTGCCCTGGACACCGGTGTTGGGTGTGTGTGATGACGTCACTGGTTTTGTAGAGATACTCGGCAGAGATGGCGCGGATACCCCGGGTTCCTTTACCGTGTACCTGCATCGTGGAAGACCCCTTCAATGTGGAACGATTCCTAATAGTCAGTGTCGATTATTTACACTGCTGTGTCCAACACAGATGACCGGGGGTAGATTCGGTGATGGGCAATTGCAATGATGGTTTTGGCTGGTTGTTCTTTTATACTGTATGTCCACGGACGCATTCTGACAGCACTTCAGACAGCAGTTGCCCGCCACGAACTTGTACCATGCCTACCATGGTGCTAGTGTACAGGCAGCACGCCAGACAGCTGTAGGCTGTAGTCGACATTCATTTTGGATAAGTGTGGGACAGGGGGGATGATGCTGCTGTAGTCGAATGTATTGGGTGGACGAATATTCAGTTTGTGGGCACGCAAACGTGATGCAGGGATGTAGGTGTATTGTACCTCTTCGGGCTTGTGTCCCTTTTCTTGCTAATTGTGTGTGTGTGCTTTAGATCTTCTGATGGCTTAGCATTTTTGTGACCACGGATCGCGTCTTTGCTAGATTTTGGGATTAGCAACTGACACGAATTCAATGTGAAGATAACAACAACAACAACAACAACACACCGTCCAGGATCCAATTTCCTCTCTGAGGAAGAGGAATCCAAACAACGCCCATTTAAGGGTTTCACAGCACCCTCTCAACTTCGGCATGACAATGCCATCATCGTGATGTTCCTACTTCAGCTACTGCATCGTGGCTGCACCTCTCTGTTCCTCAACTCAAGACTGCTTTGCGCTGCCCGCCATTCTCGCTTGGCGGGAATGCGGAGAGCAGTGAGGAGGGTGTCTCAAAAGTGCTGGCAGCATCTGGCCGCTCCGCTGCCCGGTAGCATAGTCAACAGGATGGAGTAAACTCAAACTCGTTGCTACTGCTGTTTCAACCAGTTACATTGCTTGGCTTCCGCACATACAGCGTGTGTTATTGCGACTCTCTGGAAGTTGCGAGCGACACCCAGTCGAGGCACCGTCTTACCGCCGCAGTCTTACCACAGGCAGCATACAGGGTCTGGTTGCGGTGGGACTATCGTGGTTGAAATGACACAAGATATCCCACCGCCTGGGCCGATTTTCAAAGCTCGATTACTCGGCAAAAAAAGCGGAGACGGGGCCGGAAATGGCGGTGTTGGAACCCTCTCGTCGAGAGCTTTCCCAAAACGTACTGCATCATTCGACTGCATCATTCGATATCGACATCCTCGTCATCGTGGAGTCATCGAACTTTGGTCGAGGGGGTGTGGTATCTTCCGCAACCTATGGTACACTATTACTGCTGTAGATGGCGCCTCGGCTGGTTGTGTCGCCCGCAACTCCTCGGGAGCCATGATAACTCACGCCGCCGTAGTGGGGTAGCTTTTGCCATGAGTGAACAGCAACCTTGACTCCCTGCTATGTAGCTACACGTCCCTTTGTAGCGGCGTGGCCAGATTCTGCCAGACACACCTCCATACGGCTAGCCCAATTTCCGCCGCATAGCGAACACAAACCAAATGCTATTATTGTGGTGAGCGGGTACATTGACACATTGGCTGAATCATTGCGCCAGAGCACTACACTGAGCACTGCCACCCGTGCCCCGTACCTCGCCCGTGACGACCCCCAGCACTCGCGTTCGCCCCAGCTGAATCTCGGCGCTGGCCTGCCCCTCCGCGCGAGCGAAGACCATACGCAACAGCCGCATGTCTCCGAGCTCCCTCCCATCCACCCGGCGCCCGCCCCGCAAGGATCGAAGGATGAATTCGTAGTCATTCTTGCTCTGCCACGGCCCCTCGCGTATCGCCATGGTGCCGTTATTGTTTGATGGGAGCTGCTTCTGCGAGTGAGGCGCTGTCAACTGCTGTTGGCTGGCTACGATATGATTTTGTCTGCGAACCATGTCGCCTCACAGACCAATGGAAACCCCGATACAGGCGGCAGCGCGGCAGCCGCCAGCCGCCTGCTGCCCGTCCGGCCTCCTGTCAGCTGCAACCTCACACCCACGCCCGGCTACACCACGCACGCGTTGTGTACCATCTACCACAGCAGGAGGGTGCGATCAAGAAACTTGGCTGCGAATCTGTGTCGCTGTGAAGACAAGAGATATTTACAGCAGTAGCCTGTCCGCGCATGTTCTACAGGCAGTAGGAGTGCGGTGAAACTGTAAACTCTGCTGTAGGCCATCGCCCCACCCACCCTCCGAAGTCCGGGGCCGACCCTCTCCACCGGGGTATAGATAGCTTCCCATCGGACACACGGCGGTGCGAGTGACTGCCAGAGAGTGTACTGCACGGGGCAGCTGGAGGAACCAAGGGTAAGTAGTTAGAACAATGGTGAGGGGCGATTCTGCTAGAAAGGGGAAGCGGCACTCGGCACCGGCACCGGCACCAGCAGGTGCGTTCCCCGAGGTGGAAGCGGCAGGCGCAGCAAGCAACGACGTCAAAGTCAACAGCAGCAGCCGAAAAAACAAGAAGCGGAAAAGGCAGCAACGCCAGGCGCTGGAAAATGAAGAAGAGAGACAAGTCGATCCTGCCGCTGAGCCGCAGCGTGCAGCCGTAGACGCCAAGCGGAGCAAGAAGAGACGGGAGCAGCAACAACACCAGCCGCTCATATGCACGTCTAAAGTCGCAGAGTACCCTGCTGGAACCAGCGATGACAAGGGCAGCGCTAGCACACTTGTAAAAAGAGAGACCAAAACGAAGAAGAAGACGACGAGAGACAAAGGCTCGCGTCGCCAAGACCAAGGCCACGTTCCGCCACCAGCAGACGAAGAAACTTCGCCCGACGACGACGAGAGCCAGGTCCTAGAGGGCATCGTCCACGACGGCGCAATGTACCTCGTCGACGCGCGAAGGAGAGTCTTCTCGGCCCAGCGAGACGAGCAAGGCGGCATGGTAAAAGTGGGCACCTTCGACGACAAGTGCAGCAAGGTGATCATGATCGAACAGGAGGGATCACCGCCAACTGACAGTCCCGCCAACAATACCGCCTCGCTCGCGGGGGCGGCGGCAGCGGCTGAAGCAGGGTTGGTATCGCCTCCGTCATCGACGTCACACCGCGACCCTGCTCCAACACCGGACGCTACCGAAGCCGGAAACGGCAAGGCGAAGAAGAAAAAGAAGCGAAAAAAGAAGAAGGGGGCGGCGGCTGGTAGTAGCGGAGACGTTGCTGCCTCTGTCGGGGCAGAGGCAGAGAGCGTTGTCGTGGAGTACCCGTTTGAGGTCGAGGTGCGTCTATACGGGAAACATGGAAATCACGCGGAGCCGTGGGTGTGTGCTGGCCGAGCATGAGGAATTGCACGCCGTAAAACCAAACTGGATTCAAGCGAGGGTTCACATGACTTACTGCTGTGTACACTCCAGGCCTTTGGGCGTTCATATCTGACGTATCAGCCAGGGTCCCACAAGAGGAAGGTCACATGGTGTGCATTCCGTAGACGACACAAGATAACACACCCCGGTGATAACATTTTGGGCTTTGAAAATATTAACACCGCGTGTGGTATCCTGTGGGGTGTGTGGTATCATATGTAGCCCGGGTGATAAAGTGCAGCTCGCTTGGGCCCTTACGGGGGTGTGATAGCACGTCTGAACACGCACAGGGTGTGTTTGGGGTGTGATAATTGAGGGGGTAAGGGGGGTGTGCCAGCACGTCCGAATACCCACAGGATGTGTTTGGGGTGTGATAATGAGGGGGTGTGATAGAAAGGTGTTATAGCACCCCTTGTAGAGTTGAACCGCTGCTGCCGCACACTTGGTTGGTATTGCGGGGGTGTGATAGCAATGCCTGTACGAACACTTCATTACTTGTGGTTCTGCGGAATGTGGTAAAACAAAGGAGCTCAACGGAGGTGACGAAACTCCTGAGCACATGACTCGGTGGCCACAGAGTGCGCCATCCGTCCTGCCCCCTCACACAAAAACTTAGGCTCCTGCATACCTTGCTGTTGGGTACGACCAAAAGAGAGTTATGCAGATGTTGTGTGTGTGAGATACCCACATGCCCAAGCGGCAGATGTTGTATCACCCCGGTGATAGAGGGAGGAGCCTGCGGCGTAACCTCAAGGGGTGTATTATCTTATGTAGCCCCGGTGATAAATCGATGGTTTGTCAGCAACGCCCAAAATTTTCACCGAGGTGTCGTATTCTGTGGGGTGTGTGGTTTCTTTTGTGGGTGTGTTATCTTGTGTCGTCTATGGTACATCGTAGACAGGTTGGCCACGAGACGAGAGTGAAATGGCCATTAGCACAACACCCCCCTCTCCCTCACCTCACTCATTTTCTCCAAAAACTCTGATTTCTCGCCGCACACACACAGGAGTGTGACCATTGCGAGACGAGCGAGCGGGCGTACTCCGACATTTCGCCGCTTCTCTCGGCGCTGGCCGCGGAACTGGGCAAGCCGCCGCAAGACCTTGTGATCTACGACCCTTACTATTGTCAGGGGTCCACCGTTGGGAGGCTGGCCTCGCTCGGTTTTCCTAGGGTGCATAACCGCAAGGAAGATTTCTACGAGGTGGGCTAACGAGCATGGGGGAGAATGTGGTTCTCCGAAGGATGGGTGCTGGGCGATAGATAGAGAGACGTCACGACAGAGCAGGCTAGCGGCATCTAAGCGTGCACTGCTTGGGCACTATCAACAGTCACACGAAGGTTTGGTGGTTTTCGAAGAGACGAGGTTGGTCTTGCGTGGGGGGGCGGGAGGGCTGTTGCATGGTACATGTTGACGGCACGCATCACTTTTTTTATTGCGGAGAGGACCCCCGCGTGCCCGTCACAACACACGTGGATCACCCTGAAGTTTGCCTTTTCCTCAAGTCTTACGGTCCGCACGCCTGTTTTGGTGTGGGTGCGCTCTGTTCCATCCAGGTGATCAAGAACGGAAATATACCGGAGCACGACGTGGTTGTGACCAACCCGCCTTTCAGCGGAGAGCACGTGCCCAAGATCCTCGAGTTCTGCGCTCGCCAGGGTGCGAAGCCCTGGTTCCTCCTTCTACCAAACTACGTTTACCTCAAGGTACCCCACTGTTGCTCGTTCTCCAAGACGCCAAGGACCCAACGAGAGAGACTGCCCTCGGATCGAATCCGGTTTCACCACTCGGATGCCGTAGCTGACAGCCCCGCACTCCCTCTCTCTATTGTTCTGCTCGATTTCTCGCACCGTTAGCGTCCGCCAACACTCGTTTCGTGCGGCCTTGGCCGCTTTCTTTGATTTCGTCAAGAAACAAATCCTCATATGATTGGGCCTCCCGGGGGTTGTTGTTGCCTCCCCCCCCCCCCCCCCCCCCCCCCCCCCCCCCCCCCCCCCCCCNCGAGGACACGTGGACAATGGCCGAACCGCTAAGACATGAAAAACAAGAGTACACCCCCGCCCCCGACCCTCCTGGCAACGTTTTTTGGCGCACTAGGACTACTATGAGCCGTCCTTGGGTCGCTGTTCAGGCCAGGGGGCGACACGGCCGTTCTACCTCACCCCCCCCAAGAGGTATGGAGACATGATGATGTGTTTTTTGTTTCGGAACACAAGTTGTCCGTCACGCGGGCCTTCCTGGTTCGACGTGGTGGCAAGTTTGTCCGTTCCTTTCGATCGACATGCCCAATGAGGATCCGAGGTTTTGTCTAAACGTTTGTTGCGAAATTGGTTTGCACATTACAGCGGAAGCACCGGCCGTGGACGACGCATAGACCACTGTACACCCACGGCAGACCTCGCCAACAACCGCAAGTGGTCGTTGTCGGGTCAGCATTTGACCAAGCTTTTCTCACCTTTCGTTAAGACTCAAGTCTGAAGGATCTCCGTCTATGTTATTTAGACAGAGTTCTTTCAGTCCTAACGATAGCTGAGAAGAGCTCGGTCAAACGCTGACCCCGGAGAGTGAAAGACGACCTCACGATTTGGTGACAGAGCGGCGACGCACGAAAGGCTATAGGCCTACGCCCCCGATGGTCGTTACCCCTTCGCTCCTTGCGACGTCCACTCCTGTTGCGGGACGGTTGCTATCTTTTGCAATATACACGCTGTGGATTGATGTTGTTATCTCCCACCAATGACAAGCTCAATTACGCCCTATGCCTTTTGGACGTCGATGCAAAACACCAGGTACATGTACTACAGCCCCCAGGGATCGAGACTGAAGGTGAAGAGTTCAAACCGGAAAACATCTCCCTTCAACACCTTCTGGTACATCCGCCTTGGTGACGGTGCCGTCACCTCGAAGGTATAGGTCGCTGTTCTCTTTGCGTACGCTCTCTGTATCGCTCTTGTAACTTGAATTATTCTTAGCACTATTAATATTGATCTTGGGAAGCCCGTGACGTGCACTGTTTGAAACCCTCTGTGTGCGTCTTGCAACTTGACTTTTTTCTTAGAAAATACCGATCTTGGAAGTCTACGACGTGCACCTCCTCGGTGTGTGTTGAAACCTCTAGCGATCTCAGAAGCGTGTCACGACGAGAATCCGTAATTGTCACATTCCGGAAGGTTCGGTACGGTAGATGCGTCGAAGAGGTGCTCGCAGAAAGGTTCCGTATTCAATACCCCATCAGGTGAAAACGGTTTTGCAATGTGCCAGCCAACCTCCCCCTCGATGGCCCTGCCTATTCTGCATGTCTCTCATGCCGTGTTCTTCGCAGATCCTTCAGTCGTACGATGCCGCATCGAGGAAGCTGGACATCAACGCAAGGTGCTGCGTTGCTAGGACGACCCAGCAGGTGACCCTAACGGCCGGCGAAGGGCTTTCCTAACAAGAGGAGACGCCATCATGAACCTCAACGTGCTGTGATCCAGGCAGTGGTCGAAATGTGTCTCGCTCCATCGTGTCGAACACAGCGCGCAGTTTCTTACCACCGTCCTCGTCCGGCCTCTTACGTCCCCCTCGCGCCGTCGTGGCTTGTGTTTTCTTTGTCAGATTCCGTACAAGATGATGGACTCCAACGATCCACGCCGAAAGAAAGCCAGAGATCGGCAGCGCAGTATCGATAGGATTCGCAAGAAGAAGAACGAATGGATAGTCTAATCGGTTTCATGTCTGTTTCGCCATGGTGGTGGTGGTCATTGTGGGCAAGGTTTTGTGGCACGCAGTTTCCTGATTTTTGTTTTTTCTGTCTTCACTTCAAATCAGCGCTCACAGCACTGGTGCCGTTTACTACAACCCGTGGTCACACAGAAGAGCCCCTCTCCACCCTCTCCTCCTGCGGTACATTGCCTTCGATTTTTAATGCGAGAAGAGTTCAGCACTCTCTTCCCTTTGTGTACACACGAACTAGCGCTATCCACCAGGCCAGGAGCGGAAGCGAGAGAAAAACTCACTTTGCAAGAAAAGCTCGCTTACGCCGGGATTCGAACCCCTAACCTGACCTCTAGAAGGTTTCGGGTATACCAACTAGATAGACCACTGGGGCGACCGGTGTGATTGGTATTATCTCGAACTTTCGTACAGCATTGAGTGGTAGACTCTCTCTGGTTGTTACGTGCATACTGATTGATTTGCCCCAACGTACGATGAGCTCTTTCAAGGGATAACGGTTTCGGATATGGTAATCGGATCCATGTTTTGTCGGGGTTTCTTGTTGGTACAGTCGACCCCGCTTTCAAGACACACCACGTTTCCCCCCCAAAGTAGTGTCTTTAACGCGGGGAAATGTCTTAAAAAATCCGGGGCCACTAACGCACCATCCCCGGGGCCAAAAGAAGGCGAAACATATGTCGAAAGGTGCGCATTCGCAGCAGAAAGGCGACCGCAAGAGGTGTTGTTTGAAACCTACGACACAAGGTGATTTGAAGAACGCAACCACTGCTGCTATTGTGCCGCAATACATACTTGCATACCATCGTTTGAATTTCCCCGTACTGTACCACCAAAACGCTGAAAGCGATGGTGTTCTACAACCTACGCATCGTACATGTACACGACGGTAGTGCGCTGGTGTTGATATGGATTATTTGCTTTATTTTATTTAAGGCGTTGTCCTCCCCGTGAATATCTTGCCCAAGATCTCGCTACCGCACCTGAGAAATATCGAAGGTTGTAAAACGTATGTAACGCAGAAACACAGAGACCAAATATGTCGGGAAAGCACAGCGACAAAGAGGACACCGCGCCTCCCAAAAGGTCAAAACGAGGGCATGGGTCGCCCGCACGGACACTGATGAACTAGTGACACCAGTGCAGATTTGAACCCTGGCATGTCGGTTCGCCGCATGGCTTCAAGCCGGCAGCAGACGAACCGTTAGCAGATGGAATGAATCTTTTACACCCACACGCAGTGAGGCTGCAGCAGACCGCTGTTGATGATCCAGGATCTACAGGAGGTGCTGCAGCACATTTTCTGGGGGGATCGAATGGTGGAAAACCCTACCCCTCCTACTTTTTCACATCTGCGGGGCACCATGTTTCTGATATTATTTTGGGAGTGTCTTTACAAATGGTGTCTTTAAAGCGGGGATGACTGTATGGTTACATAACGCAGGAGGGGGTCCAGCCCCCCCCTCCTATGTGACCCCGGTTGGGTCGTCTACCTAGTAGAAGTGGAGGATAGGGGCCAGAGGGGCAGACGATAGAGTCCAATGATGGGAGAAAATAAATATATACAGCGACAGGACAAGAAAATGCCTCGAAAACGACCGCGCGGGTACTGGTGTAGGTACAGCAGTATTCGCGTTCTCCCGCCTCTTGCGGTACTGTCTTGTCTGCCTCTTACTACTCTACTGTAACTGTGTTCAGTGCATGCATCTTCTATCTGTTTCTCCAGTAAAATTGCTCCATTGGCTCCATTGGCTCCATCGCTTCAGTTTCGTTTCCAGTTGCCCATCCCCCGTCCCCCTGTTCAAGCATGGGTAGCTGGGTGGCGGGATGCACTGACGAATGCGGCGCAACTAAGCAAGAGTGACGAGTCAAGAGTCAACCCGCACACCTCACAGCCTCGCACCTCGCACCGTCACAGACTGCACGCGCCACAGGCCTCACAGCTCTTACCACAGCCAGCACACGACCAGAAAGCCTAGCAAGGCCTGGTTCTTGAGCACTTGACGTGGGTGGTCTGGTGTGTCGGCCAAACTCCACGTGCACGAAAAGAACAACAGAGCGGCACTGGCATCATCAGCTCTGCCCTGCTGCTGTGTGACGTACTGACGTAGGACGCCGCTGCTTTCTGTGTGCAGCACTGCTTGCAAGATGTTTTCACACCAAGAATGCCAGAAGAGAATACGTGGGAGCGCGATGATAGGGTCGGCCAGGATTGTGGGTGCGCTGGCATGCCTGGTGTCCATCTCGGCAGCAGCATCGACAACAGCGCAGCAAGCATTCGTTGCACCCGCATCGTCTTGGTTTACTGCTCGACGACCTGACCGGCATTCGGCCATGATGATGACCAGGAAGGGTACTTCTATGATGTCGGCCGTGGCGTCGGAGATAGTCGTGGCGGACGCGGCGGGTGGCGTGGAGACTCGCATGTGGAAGTGGAAAGGGTACGACATTCGGTACAAGGTCGCAGCCGAGGTATGGTTGGTTTTGAAAATTTAAACACTGCTGTCAGACTTACTCCCCTTTCGACGATACTCCGGAGTCGTAACAACTACAACTATAATACCTGTAGAATTGCTGTCTGTATCACCACCGCCCGCTCGCGCGGAATGTGCCTCCAAACACAAGAGACGCGCGATGCGTGCGTACGTGCTAGCACGCCGTGCTGTGCTGTAGGCAGCAGGTTTGTTATTGTCGATCCGGAAGCAACCGAGATTCGGCAGGTGGCAGGATTGATCAATATGTAGACTATGTGCCTATCTATTTGTAGTCTATGCCTGGAATATTCCTGTTTGGCGTACTTTTTGTTGTGTTGGCGCGGACCAAATGGGTGAGTTTTCTCGCGCAAACTATATGGAAACCAACCCCAATCAGCCGAATGGGGGCATGGTGCTATGTTTGGCTGGCACATCTGATGTGTTTCAGCTTCATAGTGCCTGTCATACACCATCTGTTTCTTTTTTTTTCCCGCGAGAGTTTGGCGACGACGGAGTCGCCTAACAGTGTCTGTCCCCCACGGTTTTTTTTTTCGGTGAGAGTTTGACTGGCAACCAATGGTTGTTGTTTCATGTCTAACAGGCATCCCCCCCCCCCCAAAGACCTGTCTTTCCCCCAACACCGTGGGGGGCCCAACCAACCCCAAATCCCAAACGACACGATGCTACAGCAGTATTGCAGCAGTAGAAGCACATCGCCACGAGGATACAGCAAGCAGTGCAGCGTAGGTAGGTGGTGGTGTTGTGTCGTCTTGTCTTGTACGCACAGCAGGCACTTACTACATTGATCCGGGGTTGGTTGGACCATTCTTTTAGGAACAATACACGTAAACATGGACTAAACCGTCAAACACAGGCTAATCATTCGAGATACCGTCTTCCCACAGTCGAACGGGATAGTAGACATGTAGGTTATTTTCGTCCGCGGTCGGTTTCGAAACGAGGACCAGCCGTCTTGTCGTTCATTGTGCGGCTACGACGACAGGTACACGATGTACCTACGATGCTACTCTGTCCTTAGACTGTTCAGGAAACGGACGCGCGCAGACATCCACAATAAATTTGGTAGTACGAGTTGTGAAAGAAGGAGGACGGTGATACACGAAGTGTGTAGGATCTGATGGAAGCAGCAACAACATACGCCACCCGAACGGGGCCGAAACAAACTCACAGGAACGTGTAGTCTCGAAAGCAGAAGCGTCGACCTTGGTACAAGTGCGTACGTGCGTGTCTCTCCATCTGCTACCTTTGTCTCTGTGCGGGAGGTGATGGAAGCAGCAAAAGCAACATGCCATGCGAAAGCAGTAGCCTCCTCCTCACTTGACCGAGGTTCACAATCTAACCGTCTGAAAAGGTACGGTTCAACAAGAATGATCTAGACCCTGTGTGACAATGGATGGTTGTAGTTGCACGAAAAAATACACTGAAGTAGTACTCTACATACACTCAAGAGCGTAGTACACGTCTCACCACGAAAAATAGGGGGACTTTGGCCATGCTATATAGGACGAAAACACGCGCACACAATACCAGTTTCCTCCGGGTCTCCCGGCCTGCACGCCCTATCAACCACCTCGTTCTTCCGCGTACTCTTGCTGACGGTATGTCTCTCTACGCCGAATGAGTTCGATCGACGACGTTGCATCCGATGACGCTCGAAACGCCTCCAACACAGGGAAGCGACGGCCCCCCGATGGTGTTGATCCACGGGTTCGGCGGCAACGCGGATCACTGGCGAAGAAACATCCCTACTCTGGCCAAGACTGGTCCCGTATACGCGATCGATCTTCTCGGTGAGAGGTTTTTTCACAGCGGCCCCCCTCTGCCGTCATTTTGAGTTGTCTCAGGCGTACGTCCTGCTAGCCTCCGCTTGGTGTTAGTAGGGAGGTTCGGGATGAGGTTTGGGGGTTGGGGTTAGGGTTGGGATACGAAACCCCCGTCTCTATGTTGTGGATTAATACTGTAGTCAATTCTCGCGAAGGCGGTCTTGCTGGCCGGCGGGAAAGAAGCTCATTTTTGTCACGGAGTCGCAGCATTCAGCAAGCGCGAGCGCTTTGGAAAGGAAGGAGTCGAACACAAGCGTATGAAGTATATCGTACGGAGAAGTGGAGTCCAAAGACGGGGAAGTGGTGTTGGTGGTGACGTCATCCTCCTTGTTGGCCAATGGGCACAAGTTGCTTGTTCAGATCGATGCCCTCCTGGTTGAAACGCAATTTAAGTTGGGCAGCAGCCTGCGTGCAATTTCCAGGGAAGAGGCAGCACTGCCGAGACCCTGAGATGCACTCGCTGACGCCGCGCACACAAGCAGGGCGAGGCCAGCGAAGCAGCAGGCGACTACGAAGTCGAGCACCCTGCACGATCGAGTATGGTTCATGTCTCGTCGCCATTCTGGCGAGATCCCGAGGGCCATGCTTCGCCGCGCAGCATCCGCTATTGCGTGTTGCGCGTTCGCAGCTGTCGTTTACTTTCAGAGGGTCCTGTGAAACTTCCCGCTCCTCTGTGCTCGCCATCACTTTGCTCGGGACCAACAACCGTTTCCGCCAAAAAACAGGGTACGGGTTCTCGTCCAAGCCTGACCCCGGTCCATGGGAGGAGCGGAATTCCATCTACTGCTTCGAAACCTGGTCTGAGCAGGTGACTCTTCGGTCTGTTGTTGCAGGTACAGTAGTAGTACACGAAACGTTGCGTGAGACACGCGTCGCTGGCCCCGTATGTGTTGATGCTCAGGACCCCTTCCCCCCGGATTGTTGGACAACGAAACCGGTGTCGTAGTTGCGGGACTTCGCGACTGAGGTTGTCGGCAAGCCCGTGTTCATGGTGTGCAACAGCGTCGGGGGCGTGGCTGGCTTGCAGGCGGGGGTAGACGCTCCAGAACAGGTGAGGACATACTGTAGGTTGATCGTGAGCCACGGCAATAGCTGCCATTTAACCCCTTGGGTTGGTGCGGAAATCTGTTACGAGTTCACGCTTTCTGTTTGGGTTAGGCATCGGTTGGAGCAGGCAATGGTCATATGCAGTCCGGATCGAGAGGGCTGATGGTTGTGTTGCGGTAAACGGCAGGTTCCGGTGTTTTTTGGCGCCCTTTTCTCTCGCAAGACGATGGCTACAAGGGCATTCCATGACATCTTGCTTTTTTCATGCGAGACACCTGATGATGGTAACATGCCTGAACTGATCACACACATCCTGCATCAGAACGCGTACTGGCGCCTCCGACGGAACCGACCTATGTCATAATCTCGTAGATTACAATTGTTCATGCGGCGAGAGCATCAACCAGTGGAACCCCGGTGGGAGTGAAACTCTTCTAGGGAAATTGTTGCATGCGGTCAGCGGATACAAGAATTATTCCGAGATCTCATTTCCATGTTGCGTTCTGCGTTTATTGTACACATCTGGTCGTGATCTGGTCGTGCGTTGTCAACTGCGGTGTGTGCACCGCTCTTCCGCACACTTACTATTAATAAGAGCACTAAACGGTTTCGGCTGCCCGTCACACCGATCAAATACTTCACGGGCAGGTTTAGTACAGTACAATACTGCCAGTATTTTCAGTATTGCAGTACCTTTGGCCATAATATACTGTACTGCACGCTTTAGTACAGCTTTCGATACTGGAATAAAAATACTGCACGCTTTAGTACAGCTTTCGATACTGGAATAAAAATACTGCACTCTCCAGTACAGCTCTCGATACTGGAATATACTGTACTGGCAGCACGGCTCTCGGTACTGTACTGTACTGGACGCTTTAGTACAGCTTTCAATACTGGAATAAAAATACTGCACTCTCCAGTACAGCTCTCGATACTGGAATATACTGTACTGGCAGCACGGCTCTCGGTACTGTACTGTACTG